TATAATTTATATAATTTCAAAAATTCCTCCCAAAACACTGTTTATATTTTAGTATAGCGCGATACATAAGATCTGTTTCTGCAGAAACAGACCTATAATAAACTTCAACATATTGTCCGTCGTTTTTTATCTGACACTTTCCGTATGAGAGGAGTAAGGGGGTGAAGTATATGGCAAAAACAAGTGTGACGTCAGGTGACCATGATCGTTCCAATGTAGGGTGCCACCTGCTCAAATTCCTTTTGAATTTCAGTGTAATATTCCGAGAAAATAGAACCATAAATCACAATGTCTTTACTGTAAAAATTTAATAAAGGTCAAATAATCAAAAACAGAATTTCCGGTATTAAATTGAAAAGGGAACAAATTAACGTTTATTGTTATATTAGGTGTTTCGTCATCAAGCCCAGTGTCATCACCCCAAATCAATGAACTTATAAGAGCGAGGCCAAGTACCTAATTATAAATGATTTATGGCATTCTTGAACCGAGAAAATATATTGGCCTCGATAAATTAGGATATTGCGACATAATTATTCGATTTTTTAACTAAGAATGATAAAAATTTCAAGGAAATTGCATCATTATTTTTAATAATATTTAGGTCGGCCAATGGGATTGTCTGATTGATCGTCAAACGACCGCCTATTGACGATTCTGGGGGATAATTAATAACACTTTGCGGGGGGATCGATTTAATATAAATACCGCAGTTGCTAGTTAGTTGCGAGATATCAGATGAGTGGTCAGTTGAGAGATGAGTTCGCAGTCCTGTCCAGTTTGAGTTAAAATCTACAGTACTTACCTAAAGTGTCAGTCCGGAAAGTTTCTTGTATTGCCTCGGTTACAGTCTTTGAAAAGGTAGCGGAAAAATTTTGAAAGAAAGAACAATTAAATTCGTCAACATTTATGTGCAGGCTAGCTAAAAATTTTGAGTAATTAAGTAATTTCACGTGTGCAAAAGCAAAATGTAAGTACTTTAGTGTTTAATAACTTTATAAACTTGAGTGATTGTTACTAGAAAAACTTTTGACTTTCAATTAACTGTGGAAATAAATATCAATAACTCGAGTATTTTGAAAATGGAACATTATTGCATAACTTTAATTGCCTTCAGATATAATGACATTCCAATTTAATTGTGCAAAGAAAATATGAAGGGTACTTATTATAATGCATTTAACAATATACAATTTTGAGTTGGAATTATGAATTAAACAGTGAATTTATTAGCTAGGCATAGGAATCCGAAAATAGAATTGTTCTGATTAAATAAACTATCAAATGGAATAGGAAATTTTGAAAGGAAAACTGATGTACCATGAAATAGAATTATTGTTGTCTTAAAATAATGGAAAGTTGTTAAAGGAAACTTATAATAGAATTTGTTCTGATTAAATAAACTATTGAATGGAATAGGAAATTTTGAAAAGGAAAATTGTTGTTCATGAAATAAATTTTGGATTAGGATTTTTATTTTTCAAGTAGAAATTATTGTAAGGTTTTAGAAGAATAAGTTAGTAATACCTATATTGATAAACAAATAGGTAATTATTTTGGGTTTTCATAAGCAGTCCAGTGAAGGACTTAGAAATTTTAAAAAATTTATATAATTAGGTGAAGGGTAGTTTATTAGGAATGAATCGGAAGTGTTGAAATGAGTTAACTTTTAAGTTATTAGGAATAGGGCGTTTCTTATTTAGTAGTGATATTTCAGTGGTCCGTAATAATAACATTTTGAACGGATGTGAAGTAATTGAAATTAGAAAAATAGATGAGGCTGTCAGAATTGGAAAGTATTTTGCTGATTTAAATTCTTGGGTTTTATGTATAATAAAATATAATTTTAGTACACCTCAATAGTTTGTTTCTCTCTCTTGCAAATAGACCCTTCCACAGATTTTAGGTAGCAGCTCCAAGTAAATAAACACCACCATCAATATACCGCTCGCCATTTACCATCTAACTAATTACATAGATTACTTGGGGCATTTTGCTACATCAGATTGAAATCGACGGAATTTACACGTTGAAAAAAGTGTTGCATGCGTTCGGTATCGAAGTTTCAGTACAGTGATACAGACAGCGATACCATCTGCATACCGATACAGCGATGAGACACTCAAATTTACAGTGAGATTTGTATCAATATCAAGATAATATTTGGAACACGTATCGATACCGATCTCAATGTGTCGGTAAAACGAAGCATGCAAAAAGCAAAAGTCCGCAATCCGCGGAATCATAACCTGTGGTGCAAACAGCCTACATCAAAGCGAGAACCGACATGTTGCCTACGACACAACTGGTGATTTGTGATTTGGCGTGGTGGGAGAATTCAGATTTGTTCTACACATGCCTTCCCAAGCAGCAATTTAACGTTGCGGCGACGTGTTTGAAAAAGTTGCGCAACCAAACAGAAGTTGCGTAAAGGACCTTGTTACAATGTTGTCACAACCTTGTTTTGCACCAATTTGGTCAATCATTTTTGAGTTTTCGAAACGTTCCAGTTTTAACTGTAGTTAGCAGTTGGTCGTTTCCTAAACGTTGCTGTATTTACTTTTAAACAACTACACACCTGCGCCCTCTCTCATGGCGATGAGAGTTTACTTTTTGTTGTGTTTAGGAAATGGTAAATTTTTCAACCAAATATTCACTGATGGTCAAAATGGACACTTTCTTTCAACTCACTACCGTATCTAAATGTGTTATTAGAGAGTTCTCGTGCCTCAGACGCTACGCTAATACGGTACCGCTAACAATACGGTATTTTACATGGTATTTCATAGTTCTCGGACACGACATAAAAACATAAAAATCCTCTTATCCCTTATTCTGTTTACATTTCGACAGCTTTTTTTTGAAGATTCTGGAGTTTGATTAATGCTCCCTTGGTGTTTTTTATGGGGGAATTATTAAAAGTTGCTGTTCTTGCAGACGTAAATGGAGCGTAAACTAATTTTCACATAGCATAGCGTTACGGTAAGGCATTCGCTAAGTCCCGTTAGATAGCGGGCTCCGCTAACGCTAATACCGTAAAAACTGTCATACTTGTCAAATAGCGTTATAGTATTTGAAATTTGGACAGCACGAGAATTCTATTCTTATGCTTCAAATACCTTATTTATATTGTCGAAAAAAGACGATACACAAACAGAAATCAGCAACGCAGTGATATGCGATTACTGATAAATATACTATGGATTTATGCCAAAAAACACGCGTGCCTTCAATCCGTTGCAAATTTCTCAAAACTCAAAAATCAAAATAAAAATTGAAAAAAATATTAGATAACCAATCTTGAAGTTGATATCGTTTCAAACGCTAGCTAAACGGGATGCATATGAATGGTTCCTAGAAAACTAAAAAACGCTTTATAATCCTTTGTTTATACCTGTTAATGCACCAAATTTCAATGGCCGGGACCATGTTTCCACACAGAATACACTTTCAACATGGCGGAGGAGTATAATAGGCGTCAACGCGACTTTGGATATCAGATAACTAAAAGATATACTAACTTTAAACGTTAGTCTGCCAGAAAACTAACTTTTTTCCCGAGGCGTGACTAGAGTTGCTTATCGGACCAAAAACTGAACTGAGTTCAACTTACTCCAAAATACACAATTTTCGATCGCGCCTACGTGCCTCTCCGTGCCATTCAGTTGCCGTATTATTATTATTTCTTCCTCTAGTCTAGTCTAGATTGATTATTGAGTTATTTCCTCATGATCGAGTTGTTTATCCTGCATCAACTATTGTTCCTCTGGAAAATTAGTTGCTTCCCCTACTAATATTAATTTTTCATTCAGATTCGCCCTCGGGTTGGCATTTGTTCCTGGAGAATTTAAACTTAAGTTCTCGGATCTATCTGTCTTCATGTATTCTTGTGCCCCTGAATTTTCTTCATGACATAATTATTTTTTTGTCAATATGAGGCAGTTTACCTGAAGGTTCAAGACTCGTTTCATTTTTAATTTGATGGTCTTGAATGACTTTTTTATTTTGAGGTTGTATTTGAGAAAAGGTTAGTTGAAGAGGTGACTCCGCGGAAACGATTTCAATTTAACTGAAAAACTGACTACTGCTTAGTTGAATCTTAAAAGGTCGGATCTCCGTCGAGAAAATGTTTAACATAACTCAAGATGTCACCTGAACGTTGTCAGAACGTTATTCCCATTCCCAAAATATTAACTTATTGTAGTCGGTTGCGTAAACGTTGTCACAACGTCGTAGTTTAACTAAAGTCCTGCGCAACACTAAGACGACGTTGTCCAGATGTTTAGAGAGCGTCGTTTCGTAAATGCCTAAACTCTATACTAAGTACAACGTTAATTTTGGTGTATTATGTGGTTGTCGTCGTCAAAATGCTACTTGGGTTATGAGCATAGGCGATCCTGTAGTAGTAGTAGTATGTATTATCCTTGGGGCTTGAGCACAAGGGTTCAACGCAACTTCGAAAGTAATAAGCGCGTAACTTACCGGAGCTCCTCTTGGTGTGGTGTGAAACTTGTGAAAGGAATACAACTAATAGGATTTAAGACATAAGATTCAGAAATAAACGAAAACGTCAACTAAAATTCTTGAAATTATGAATAAAGACTCAAAATTACAAAACTCACAACTCACGACTTGCTGCGGAGACACAGAGTTCGATCAAGCCGTTGGGCAGTAAAGGCACTTTCTGCATGTCTTTAGGTCACAGGTTAGGCATAAAATTTTATCTATGAGCTGAGCATCTACACCTACAAAAAAAACTAAAAAAGGCATATTGAAATTTCTGATAGAAGAGAGATTTTTGATTATACAAAATTCTACTTTTCCACACACTGTTCGGTAAAGTGCTACTTGCACTTTCCACTTGCAAAAGAGTGTGGTGGTAAAGTGTACTTTCCGCACGGGAGTCAGCCTTCTAGAAACCTAGACTTTTTCGTTTTGAAGCGTCATGCATAGATGGCGCAGGTAAAAAATTTCATTTCAAATAATTCATAAACAAAAAAGTGAGGTTGAAGTTGAAATTTATAATTTTTTTTTCATATTTATTATTTAAATTTAAAATATAAAGAAAAACATGTTCGCTACTAGAAAAATACTGCCAAAAATATACAGGCATTTATGCTCTGTTCCTTTACTACCCCCAAGTACTCTCCTATCTTCCCTGAATTGCTCTTTCTCATCTATAATCTCGAATCACCAACAGCCCCAAATTTTCAATAAATCTCCAAATACTAATTTAATTTGCACAAGGAGCTATGCAAAAGGCAAGGACAAGAAAAAAGAAAATAAGGGTAAGTTTTTGATAATATTTGAGCTTCAATAAATACTATACTTTTTATTAGGTAAAGCAGCTAAAGTAGTCATCAACGAAACTGAAATATCTGAGCTAGTCAAAGTGGAAACCCTTAAAACTCAGCTGCAAAAAGCCGTAGCTCACATGGAAGAGGATTTCATCAAAAATCTATCTTTACGCTCCACGACAGGGTCAATTGAGTCAGTACCTATTAGTTTAAATGGCAAAGAGCACACTTTACAAGAACTAGCTCAAATAGTAAGGAAAAACCCTAAAACTATAGTTGTAAATTTCGCAACGTTTCCACAAGCCATCCCTGCAGCTTTGAAGGCCTTATCCAAATCCGGAATGAATTTGAATCCTCAACAAGATGGAACAACTTTGTTTATTCCTATACCAAAGTATAATAATTTTGAATTAACTTATGCTGTATATAAGTAAATTACTTTTTTTAGGGTTACAAAGGAACACAGAGAACAACTAGCCAAAAATGCCAAGCAGCTTTTCGTCAAGTGCAAAGACAGTGTAAGAGACGTACAAAATAAATACGTAAAGCAAGTGAAGCGCCAAGACAAAGTTTCTGAAGATTTAGCTAGGAACGTAGAGCAACAAATTGTGGCCTTAGCGGACCAATTTATTGCAGAAGCTGAAAGTATGCTAAACAAAAAACAAACTGAATTGCTAGGAGATAAATAAATAATTATTAATCCAATTGCAAAATTATTATATTATTATTAAAATGCCTTAAAAATTATATGTAATTGAATTATTTTGTTGTGCCGTGGCTGCTTCAAAAAGACAGCCACGGCACTTATATAAGAAATTTCCTTGCCACAGTAACAAAGACAAAATGTTTTACACAAATAATTAATCTGTATCCATTCTGTCTGCAGCTTCTGTGGCTGTAGCTGCTTGGGGGTCCCTCGGTGCTTCCCCCTGATCTTCCCTAAGAGGCCCTGGAGCTTTATCAGCACCCTGTCCTCTTCTCTCCTCACCTTCAATAAGTCCTAAATAAGGTGCAATCTCCTCTTCTTCTAAAATCTTAAATTGCCTTTCCTTGCCAACAAAACCAATAGAAACATTTTTGGTAGACAAATCTATTTCTGGAGGAAGGGTGTCTCTCAAAGCCCTCAAACCGTGTTTAATAAGTTCTTCTAAGCTGCTGTTTAATAATTGATCCAAATGCTTTTCCAAGTAAGTCCTGGCGCTTTGAGATCTGGACCCAATAGACATGGCTTTGCAATCGTAAAAGTTGGCCGAAGGGCAAGTTTGGTAAATGTGACTACCTTTATCATCAAACCCAGCAACTAAAAGGCCTACACCATAAGGACGACGATCGTAACGTTGAGTACAAACTTGCATTTTGTTGCCTGAAATAATTAATGTGTTAAGTTTGAATTTCGATTAACAAAAATCACTTACCTAAAGTTGTAATAAGTCTATTCATTGGCATATAAGTATCGTGAGAGTACTTATAATTCAAACACTCTGTTCTCATGTATCTGCTCAAAATCCTTGCATCTGCAGTAAGCCCTGATATAGTAATACCAATATGATCGTCGATGTTGATGATCTTTTTCTGGTAGGCAGACAATTCAGAGGAGGCTCTTTTTAGGGCTATAATGACCGCATGCGAGTTACTTTTGAGCCCCACAGTAGCTGAACCCAGGTTCACCGCTTCCATGGCGTATTCGACTTGGTGCAGACGCCCCTGGGGGCTCCACACCGTCACGTCGCTGTCGTACTGGTTCCTGAACATTGCAAGAGGATTTTGAAGCACTAAAAACTGAACTTTTTCACCAAATTATAGAATTTTCTTTGATGAATAATGATAAAGCGGTTTTGTGTGATTTTGCAGTGACATCTGTGTCACTTTTTTTCATATCATCATGAAAAGGTTAGGTTATGTTGGCATTTGACAAGGGCATTTGGGCACTTGCTACAAGGTGTTTTCGTTTCTCGTTGAACCTTTGAATATAAAACTACACGAAGGAGCGTTTTCTTTTTTCTATCTGTCACTACAGACAACGCAGAGACGGAAACAGCCATATTGAGCCTCCAAGTATGGACTCATCACTTGTTTTGGTGGTTTGCTGTGTCCTCATTCAAGTGGATGTTTAATGGATTTTAGCGGTTTTAAGTGATAATAAGCACTGGGATTAGTGCGAAAAGAGTGAGTCATAATATTGACAATCATATTTAAATAATTATACGCCACTGCCTAGGGTTTCCATTAAGGTTTTTCGGGATTCAGGACAAAGGAGTCGAGAAATCCGGACAAAATCCGGACTTCGCCGAAATAACTATTTATGCAACAAGTGTGTGAAGTGAACCTTTTTTCACGAATGTGAATTTTGTCGCACTCGCCTTAGGTTCACTTTACACATGTATTGCATACAAAATTTTTTCTATAACTAATGAAATATGTGTAAAAAAATAAATTTAGGCAAATACTTTACGCACTATATTGCGCAAGGTGAAGTAATTTACTAGAACAAAATGACAGTGTCGACATCTCTCATTGATATTACTTCACGCACCAGTGTGTAAAGTGAATTACTTTACAAAGGTACTAGTGCGTGAAGTGAAATTTTTTGTCTTTTGAATAATGCGCAAAGTGAGTATTTTACGCACGGTAGTAGAAAAATAATTTAAATTTTTCATAAAGGATGAATTTTATTTATTGTAAAAATACATTTTTACAAAAATAACCGTAACGATTACTTAAAATATTTAACAAAGTTAGGTTGTTTTCACGATCTCTGAGTTTTCCGGACATTGTTCCAAATTCCGGCCGGCCCAGCAAACACTAACTGACGGTAAACAATCGGCCGAATGCCTTGAACGATGGGTAAGTGACGGCATCGGCTAAAAGCAGTTGGCCCCTTTGTGTTTTCGATCATTGAATTCCGGCTGTTGGCATTTGATCGCTGGCATAGCGTCGGGGCTTTTCTATTAATGATTTCAAATTATACAACTGGTACCTACTATATCACTGGACCGGCAGTTTGCCAATATATGTTTCCCAGCCTCCTTAAAAATTTCGAGCAGGAGTACCGCGTACGCGTTCTTCATGGGTGTTCTGTGCATCGTTGAACCTGAACGGCATTGACGGCCATTACCTCGTTGGCGACGTATGTTTGTGGCTTCGTTTTTGTATTTTGATTTTGTTCTTGGTCTTGTGCTTTGGGTAATTTCTCAATAATTGTGGAAATAAGTTATTGTGTTGTCGCGCGAAAAGTCAATTGTTAGATACAAGATACAAGACTTGGTGAGTATACTTGTAATTAAAATAACGCATGTACCTACATTAACAAATGTTGTTATTCTTCTTTTCAGATGGAAATGATGGATTTTTTTTTTCTATTTTCCAAATGAAATGTTGACTTTTTTCTTATAATATTGTATTGTATTACCTAAATATTAACTATTTTAGATATTTCCTAGTCATTTTACAAAGATTTAGGAAGAATGTAGCTTATATAATATATCTATGATTTTTTCGATAAAACATAAATTTGTTTGAGATTTTAGTCCTCCAGAAAGGCTTGGATTCCTACTACGAAGAAAAACGAGCAGGAGAAAAAAAATGTTGTGTCATACCAAGTTGCACAAAAAGTAAAATTCGATTTTTGGAATTATTTACTAGCATTCTAGTATATAACATTACAACCATGTATAACGTTATGGCCCTGTGATGAAAATCCATCAAATATACTGTAAGGGACCATAAAATTTGAGGAAGTATACCCAGCGTTGGCCCAATGTAATGATTCAGACGTTGAATCGGCCCAACGCTGGTTTATACTGTCGGCCGACTTGCGGCTCGACTGTCGGCCGGGCGGTCATATACGATCCGGACCAGTACTTTTTTTATTTAGTTGGGCAGATGCCTGTTATCCGGCAAGGCGGCATTTGTACGATGCTGGGCCGTAAGAAATGTGTTTGTTGGGGGACTTCCCCGGACACCCTAAAAACCCAAACATGTCCGGGCAAATCCGGACGTATGGTAACCCTACCCTACCACTGCCAAATCGGAAATACTAGTCGGCCATATGCAACCTCCACATATTTTGGTCGCGCAGAATCGAAGTTATGCTCCTTCCTGTAGTTTTATATTCAAAGCGTTGAACTGATCGTGTCAAATTCGCATCTAGTAGGGCCGGTTTCTCAGTAGTAAGTCACCCCTGACTGGCTAAAGCATAACTCGAGGGTAAACATTGCAACTAGACACGTTTCACACTAGAGGATAGCCTATCCTGAGAAGACCCTGTAGGCCGGATTCTATTTTACGAGTCGAGTCGAAATTCGTATCGAATTGTCAAAATAGCGATTCTATTTTTCGATTTCTCCATATTATGTATTACACGGTACGTCCGGAGCTGTCGTATTCGATATCGAGACAATTCGACTCGACTCGTAAAATAGAATCCGGGGGCTGTGTAAAACAAAACCGCTTTCGGGTGTAGGGCGTCAAGCTCCTAGAGCACTCCACTCCTTGAAACACATTGGGTATTTTCAGGCGGTCCCAGCGGCTAAGCTCAGCCACTCAGCAGGGACTATTATTCTCGAAACCAAGGAACAGCGTTCTCATAAGAACGACTGCTCTGTCATTGTCAGTGTTATGCCGGACGACAAAGACAGAACCTTCGTTCCAATGAGAACGCTGCTCCCCTGTTTCGAGAATATAGTTCCTGCTGAGTGGCTGAACTAAGCCGCTGGGACCGCCTGAATGTACCCATCGGTCCCAGCGGCTTAGCTCAGCCTCTCAGCAGGAACTTTATTCTCAAAACCAAGGAACAGCGTTCTCATAAGAACGATTACTCTGTCATTGTCAGTGTTATGCCGGACGACAAAGACAGAATCTTCGTTCCAATGAGAACGCTGTTCCTTAGTTTCGAGAATAAAGTTCCTGCTGAGAGGCTGAGCTAAGCCGCTGGGACCGCCTGAATGTACCCATTGTACCCTTTACGCCGGAACGCTTACTTTTCTCAATTGAGTTTGACAAATGACGATGAAAAAGAAAAAAGATAAGGATTTCAAGAGATGCAGTCGAGGAAAATAAGAACAGCTCGGGGCGTGAAATCTGCGCAGACAAACGGGCCAAAGCGCGGACGAAGTACTTCGGAGTAACTCTAGAGTGCTCAAACTGTGGCACCCGAAAGCGGCTCAAATCTGCAACCTTCCACCACAGCAAATCACCAAAAGTGCATTTAGAAATGGAGTGTGAGGGTAGAGTAAAGTGTGTTTTTTTTTAAAGATAAAAGTCAAAATGACATTATGTTAGCAATACAATGTAAAATTGTCAATGCTTTGAAATTTTTATGTAGAAAAGGCTTGTGTTGCCAACATAGTTACTAAATTTTTGACTCGGAGTGCACTTGGAGTGCACTCTGAGTGCGCTATTTCTGAACGTATCGGGGTGTTGTGGTAAATGTTAACGTCAAACTCGGTAAAAACCACGGGGCGTTTTTCAACCCAGTCCCTGAATGGAGTAATTTGGGCGTACTCTAGGTGCGTCAACTCTCGATTTCTAAACGATTCCAGCGTAACATTCCGAGAGCACCTGGTAATTTATGAACGGTTTAGAGTTACTCCAGGGTCACTCTCACACCCAGAGTGTTATTTCTAAACGCAACCCAGTTGTGACGTAGCAACATGTTTTGTTTCTCGCCTTGACATAGGCTATTTGCACCACAGGACTCTCCAATCTGAAGGCGCCTGATTATGATTCCACGGGCTTTTGCTTTATGCATACGTTTTTGCTGCATTAATTAACATTCTAACATCTCGTTTGCCTATTATGTTAATCAAAATTAAATAATATTTTTCATCATAAATTTAAATTCTAAGCTACGACCGCTGGCGCACACATCTGACGACTTAATTGATGACGTCGGCAGTGTGTATTATCTTTGGGTGAACTGTAGAGTACAGTGGTATATTCATCTACAAGCCTGCGAAAAGTGCACTTTGCCGCACTTCTTTGCAAGTAGAAAGTAGCATTATTTATTTTACCGCCTAGGGTACGGTCAAGTAGACTGCAAAGTGTGCGGTAAAATTACTTTACCGCATAGTGTACGGTGAAGCAGACTTTGGTATTTATAATCAAAAATCCTTTCTCTTTCAGAAATGTAAATAATGCCTACTTTTGGAGTGATGCGGAGCGGACTGATGCAGATGCTCATCAAGGATAATACACACAACGACTACAGTACAGAAAAGGTACCAGTGATGACGCAGACAATGTGTCGTTTTTGCCTTGAGGTAGGATATTTGCAAGGATGAGACACACTACTACTACAGGATAGCCCATCCTCATAAGACCTGGTGGTCTGGTGGAACAAATCCCCCCCAAGCCAAATCACTAATTGTGACGTAGGCAATATGTTATTTCTTGCCTTGACGTAGGCTGTGTAAACAGCTGACGACTTACTTATGACGTCGGCAATGGTGGCACACCAATATGACGGCGATTACCAAAAACGAGACCGATCACGACCGATAAACACTCCTTGGCCGGTTTCTCAATAGAGAGTCACCCCCGGGTTAAGCATAACTCCAGGGTAAACATAGGAACTGGACACGCTTAGTCTGGAGTTAAAACCAAACCGAAGGTGACTTGCTATTGAGAAACCGGCCCTAAGCCTAGTACTCATAAGCCGCTTTCCAGCTGTGTGCTTCAAGCACGGTGCAGTACAGTGTTCTGTGTTTGAAACGCAAAAGTTAGCAGCTCTCGAAGCGCAGTACGGCTGGAATACGAACACGCGCTTGAAGCATTTGCGCACGCAATTGCGTGCTCAAAATGGTCAGCTGGAAAGTGGCTATACGGCTATACTC